TGGATGTACTAATAACTCGATCAGATCAGGGCTTCAAGACATCCGTATACAGAAAACCAACATCAAAACACCAGACAATCCCTCAACTTCAACTCTCACCGCCTATACAGTGAAAAGAAAGGGATCGTCAGCTGCTTACAATATCGGGCAAATAAGTGGTGACCCAGAGACATATGAACAAGAAATGATCTGTATCAGCAGTACCCTACAACGTAACAACTTCCCCGGATCCACAGCAGCAGCTCCGACAAATAGAAGGGTACAAGAGGATAACAGCATTTAGAAAACTGATTCGGCTTGCCTACTCTATGTGAAAGGATTATCGGAAAAAATACAAAAGATCTGTGGTCCATATAACATCAGGACGACATTCAAAAGTGTTTCGAAACTTCGCAGACATCTCTTCCGAGTAAGACGCCCCACCACTATAGAGGAGAATATGACTAAGGACAGTGTGTATAATATTCCGTGCAGCTGTGGTAAAAAAAAAAAAAAAATTAAAGGTGAAGCAGGCCGCACTCTTAAGGCAAAACTGCAAGAAAATCGTAAGGGAAAATTGTGATCAACGAACCCCTGTGGGGTGAGGTTGAAATAGCAGATAGAGAGAATCAATGGAAAATACGTAAACTTAAAGAATCAGCACATATGCTAGCCCACAAAATCTCCTAAGCCGGCCAAGCATAGAAATGAATACAATATACGGGAACCAGTAATACGGAGGTGCTAGAGAAAAGCAATATTAACAACAAAAATCGAGCTCTGGTACAAAAAGGTTACAAAGGTTTGTAGGTCCCAAAATCCCATACATAGCCCAGTGAATAGAAGCGTTGGTTGAATTCAGTGACCCAAACAGTTATGAGTTCAATACCTGGCTACTGCAGCGATGAACAAAAACTTAGGGAGCTGAGTTAAAGGGAGACAAATGAAACATCTGGAAGAGACATGGCATGTGGAACTGGAACAATATACGCTGGTGGACGAAAGAAAGGGTTCAGTTCGGAATTCCAATCTCCTGAAGAAGGCTGGAGCGTACAACAGCGGAAACGTCGTGAATATAACAGTAAAGAGGAGGACAACAGCCCGAACAATGTGAATAATGAAAAATGTCATGAAGCGATTTCTGAACTTAAGTCTTTGGCTGGGGCCCGAATGTGTATGTGTATACAACAGAAATGCAAGGACATTGTGCATATATTTATTACATTGCCTTACCTAGCAGTATTCAATGCACAGACGAATGGTAGATTTATAAATGTGCAAAGTGGATTTTGACGAAACAGTGACGGATGTATTCTGGTGCGGAAAAATGAACCAACTTTCCTAGCAGTAGATCTAGCAATGGATTTAATATGATAATTTCACTTCATGTCAGTGGATAAATTGACCCTAAGAGGGTGAATAGAGTTGTTCTCCTATAGGTTAGCATCAGCCATACTGATAGCGGACAGAAAAAGTTATCTATGGCGATGAAACTAAATCAGTTTTCTTTTGGGCAACCTTAAAATTTACAACCCATTTCTTGTCTCAGTTAACCACTGATTGGATTTCTTTTTCGAGAGCAGTTAATAGTTTGACTTTGTCGAGCTTGTCGGGCTTGCCAAGACAGAAGTAAGTAGTTGTCATCTGAATAAATACCTAGTTAGAAACTGATGACATCGGGAAGGTGGCTGAAGATAAGAAACAGCGCAGGTCCAAGGATAGAGCCTTGAGGCATCCCTGTGTTAGTATGAAATTATCTGGAAGTGTGCCCGTTCAACACGACCTTCATTACTCGATTGGTTAGGAACGATTGGATTAAGCCAAATATTCGTTCATTCATCCCGTAGCCCTTGTGATTGTGAAGACGGCCGGTATGCGAAACCCTGTCGAATGTCTTTGAGATATCTACAGCCGCAGCCCGAGCTTTGTTGCGCTTATCTAAAACTTCATCTCAAACTTAAATTATGGACCTGAGGAAACGAAAGCTATATTGTTTACCCGAAAGGAGGCCAAGTTGCTTAACCAATTCGGCTTTGACTAGAGTATCTAGTATTCTACCAATTCTTAAAGGCGGGAACTACGGAGGAGGACTTCCAACACGCTGGAAACCAAACAGAAGCGAGGCATTTATTGTAAAGTTTGGATAGAATAGGAGCCACATCAGGAGCAGTTTTTTTTTCTCTCTCTCTCTCTCTCTCTCTCTCTCTCTTTCCGTTTCATTCTAAAGCTAATCAGTGATTGCGAGCCATCATCTGGTAGATTTTCTTTTCTTTGTTTACGATGACTACAACTGATTTCCAGGAGTAACAGTTCACAGTTTACTGACAGTCCAGACTGTACCAGAGGTTATTTTAGGCTAGGCTGTTTTACATTCAGCGTATAATTTCAACTGTTTTATAACCCCGAGTATAAAAGGGATTTGACTAACTAGATCAGAACATACTCCCCCGTTTTATGTTTTTTTTTTGCATCTAATGGTAAGCATAATCGTTATACAATGTAACCCGGATATAAGAGACCCGGATATAAGAGAAACCCGGATATAAGAGAGATTTTCTCTGGTCCCAAATTAGAGCCTGTGTTAATGTATATAAAACAGACCAAACCCGGATATAAGAGAAACCCGGATATAAGTGACTTCTTCTCCGGTCCCGACAACTCTCTTACATCCGGGTTACACTGTATTACTCGTTTGCTTATAAGGAAACATTCAGCATTCATTGGCCGAGCAGCCAGTGCTACTATCGGGTGAAATCTACAAAATATTTCTATTCGAACAATTTTTCAGGAAAATACGTTTCTCAAATCCAGTAGCTGTTATCGATCTTTCCAGTAGTGATGGGATTTTCCTTCTTAATCATTTGTTTGAAATAGTGTGGAATGCCAATATCTTGATAATTTCATTAATTTATTTATTTTTAGTTACAGGCGCTGTCCATTTTAGTTGTTGCTGCTGTTGGAAGTCTTCAAGGGATGTGGTTTTTGTTATTTGGTAAAGATCTTTGTGTTCCTTTGGTGCCAGTCAACGGGCTTCGAAGAAGGATGGTTCTATCTAAGACCTACTGGTTTCATTCCCTCGAAGCAATTTTTAACTATTGCTGTGAAAGCATTTAGTAAGAACAAGTTTGTATACTAGCGAACAGTCTGTTTACATTTACTCAACAGGTCCGTTTATTTTTAAAACCATTGATACTAGCTTACTGTAAAAGAAGTTCATATGAGCCATTGTTACCAGTTTGGAAACTATTTTCGGCCTTGTGTCACATCTAAGCTACGCTTAGCAAATCATTATCACATATTGATTAAGAAAACTATTTACGTAATATCTGTCCTTCTATACAGCAGCGAATGCTGAACAATATCCTTAATGATGAAGAAGAGACTTAAAGCAACAGAAATTTTGTTATACAGGAAAATGCTGAGGATACCATAGTCCGACCGTGTGAACAACGACTAGGTTTTAGAGAAAATGGAAGCAAAAAGGAAGAGGTAGTTGAAATTCCTGTGGCACATAATGAGGAAAGAGGGCTTGGAAAATCTGATACTCACAGGAGAGATTGAGGGAGGAAGGGATAGAGGGAAGCAGCGCGTAATCTACTTAATGGGCTTAATGCGAGAACAGGGTTTCGGAGAAAGAAGAAAAAGATAAAACTTATTAAGAGCTACAAGGGAGATAATCATGTGGAGTTCAATGATCGCCTACGTCGTGAAGGGATACGACACATAAAGAATGATAGTTTGTTAGATTAAGCTTTGAACTGTTGTATCTTAGAAATGATTAAAGATATGTTACTGGAATTATCCGTGGTTTTTATAACACTATTGCACTCTAATTTGAACAATTAGAATGTATTTAGATCTAAGTTGAAATGATGATCCCTCTTGCTGTTGTGACCTCCTGATCCAGTTTTCCTCTCTACTGTTCCCTCTTTTTAAAAATTATTTACCGTTAATTTGATTGTTCTTGAATTGATTTGAAGATGGAAGCCAGAGTATGAATGCTGGTACGATAACCGAATTACAAATGGTGTCAAGATGGCTACATGTCTTATCTAAACCTGGTAAAAAGAAATTCAGTTTATATATATATATATATATATATATATATATATATATATATACATATATATGCACGAAAATATAGGAGGCATGGTGGAGTAATGGATAGCGGTTTTGGTCCTGCACAAGAACTTCACCACTATAATCAAACACATGTGCTGGTGTCTGATTGTCGGTTCCTAGGCACTGAGGTGCTTGACCCTCATACGTTGAATACGACGGGAGAGTCCAATATATATATATATATATATATAATTAAAGAGTAAAATCCCAAATCACCTCATATGGGGATTAGCCTATTTCGGAAAACGAAAATACAGGTCGTCTGTCTTTCTGACCCCGTTGTGGACTGAATTCATGTCAGAAACGGAAATTTAACTGTGAAAGTTAAAAAAAAAAAGCTTCAGTCAAAAAACTAATACGGTCCTCAAAATCTCCTGATCAGAGGCCTTGCTGCTGGACGTAGTTTATCGTCTAACCCAGGACGCGGATGTAGTTTATCGTCATACCCAGGACGAAATAAGATTAGGTGTAAAGGCCATTATGTTATCATATTATGTTATATAAAGAAAACATATCCTTATCTATGAGTGTAGATGCAATTTGTATGTATACATTTAAGTTTGTGTCTGTTGTTTCACTTTGATATTGGCGTGAATATATTGGATAATATTATTGTCTCAATTTAGCATTAAATTTTGAATTAAACATTCTTTGACTTCTCAATGTTAATTTTTTTCAAGTCTCATATATATATAAAATATATAAGAGACATGTATTCATGGGACTGGTTTTTTGTCCATTTTTGGGATAAGAGTTTGGGATTTTGTCCAATGGGCTTTTGTCCTGTTATTTTATTTTGGTATTCCTCTGTCAAGAAATATCATATTGATTATTATTACCATTTTCATCGTTGTTATGAATAACCAGGCTACAAGTCCTACTTTTAGTAGTAGTTGCGGATGTCGAAATTCTTTTTGTTACTAGCAACATTAATCACTGATGCATTTATTGCAATAGCAGTTGCCGCCACAATAAAGCCCGAAGTAGTCGTTCCAGACCGCGTTGTATGCGTTGACAAACAAACTAATTAAGAAACAAAAGTTGAGGGACGCACACGCGCTCTTCTGCCAGAGGAGATGAAAAAATTCTGGCGATGGATAAATCGTCACAAAAGACGCAGAATAATGGACAATATCCGCTTTTAAGGGGATTCGGGAAAATAACGACAATGTCCCTGTGCAATGTGCGCACTTTTAATTATTATTATTGAATTATCGTAGAATTAGTATGATTGTAACATTACAATTGAAACTCTTGGATTTCGTTTACAAACAGTTGTTGACTCTTGGACTATGTTGATGATTACGCGACAGTAAGTCTTTCCAATATTCTAGCACCCTCCTCGGCATTCCGATTTTATTGAAGCGTTTATCTAAATCAGGGGGGGATTTAAGAGTTTCAGAGGGGAATCTTTGACTTCTTCTAGTTTTTTTTTTTTTTATTTACAGATTTTTATTGGATTACAATAACCAGGAATTCTATTGAAGGTTTTGTCTATTGATGTAGGATTCATTCTATTTAATAATTAGTTATGAATTAAAACAAATTATAGTACATAATATTCAAGTTTGTAAAATTAAATTTATAAAAATTCTCTAAAAAAAATAATCCATATTTGGTTTTGGTTTGGTTGTTTTTGTTTAGCGACATATCAACACCACTATGGGTTATTTAAAACTGAAATCTAAACATTTTGGTCGCAATTCTATGCCTTCAACTACATATATTTTTTACATAATTTTATGCTTTCAGGATAGACGTATATCTTATAGATATATAGTTTGTACAATGTCTATTGTAGGTGTTATATGTTTTGGTATAATCCTATTTCTTTAAGCCATCCTGGGTATGACGATAAACTACATCCGCGTCCAGGGTAAGACGCTAAACTACGTCCAACAGCAAGGCTACTGATCAGGAAGTTTTGAAGATCGTGGAACCACCTCTTAATTGCTGGTGTTTCCACGTCCACTCTGACTCGGGGTGGTAGCACCTGTTAGGGTCCCAGCTATGGGTAAATAGTTAACCCCGAAACTGAGGTAAAAAAAAAAACATTATAAAAGTGTAAAAATAGGTTTTAATACCAGAAATACTTTAAATTTTTGAAGAAAAAAAAAACTATTACCAGCAATACGTTTTTTAAAGAAAATATTACCAGCAATACATTTTTTTAAATAATTTTACCAACTATACATGTTTGAGGAAGAAAATATTAGCAGAAACAGATTTTTGTCGAAAAAAAATATTACTATGGAAAAAAATGTCGGCATTAAATAATCCATTGAGGTTGATATACCGTAAAGCAAAACTAACCAAACCAAACCAAACCAAACCAAACCAAACCTAAGGTCGGACATTATGGTGACAGTTTCAGTATTTTCAAACAGTTTCTCATGTTTTTTTTTCTTGTAGTATTTATGTCTTACATTCAGTTAAAACGTGTGAAAAAATAATCCATGTAAATGTAGTAATATGGAAAGGAATGAAGATTTTCAATAATATATGTATAATCATTTGGAATGCACCTTTTGAGTCATAAAATCTTGGGAAGGTGGGGAATGATATTCTGACATATGGGAGAAAGGAACCACTGGACAAAATGGTTTCGAATATTCTCGAATTTCTAATTCTTTCAAAACATTTAGAAGGTTCTCATGAATTGATCCACTGGCGCAACAATCTTTTTCATAATTGATATTATTTTCATTTCCAGGTCAGGCTTTTGCTTTCTTGCCATTTTTGCTTGTACTTTATTGAAACCTCTACTATTTGACTTTTTTTAAAAGTATTTTGCCGCATTATTTCACTTACAACAACTAGATCAAGTCTTTGAATTCGGATTGCGTGATTTGGTTGCAAAGTCCTATTTAATCCTATGCATTTCATTCTATAAGAGAGGTACTAATTTGGGGATCTAGAATAAGTTCTGTAAGATTCGAGTTTGAATCCGTTTCTTTGAGAGGCATTTCAATCTTCACATCACGAGTCCCGGAACCCTTTTTATATACTGGGGGTACTACATGTACAGCAGCCATAGCAGGAATTGTGTGCCCAGGGCAAAATATCGGAGACAGACCTTTTCCAGTCTGATTTTAAATTCAGAGTTTTTCCTTTTCCGAGCCTGGTTGCTAGCTCAAGACAAAAGAGCCCAGTCAGATCTGCTATTTATCCCATTGCTAGTAACGGGGATAAGACGTGATTCCATACCTTTTTGAAGGGTATTTATGCGAAAGTGAACATAATGATCCAGACCAGTATTCGAACTCGACTCGCCGATTTCACTTTCCGAGTCGCTAATCCTTAAACTATCTGTATAGTGATTTACTAAGCATAGCTTACATGTGGCACAAGGACGAGATTCATGAGCATCAAGTGAAAATCGAACTCAATACTCAGTCGTAATTAATCTAGCAAGACAAGCTTGCTGAGCATGACATTATGTCGAAGTGGTCACCCATCTAGGTACGATGTTGCTTAACTTCGCTGATCGTACGAGAACAGGTATCTCAATGTGATGTGGCCGTAAGCCCATTATGCTATCTACATATCCTTGCTTACAGCACCTGGTATTCCCAAGCGGTCACCCCATTAGGGACTGCCCAGAATGTGATGTGGCTATAAGCCATTTTGATATGGTTATCCAAGGCAACTGCAAGAAAGGTAGATCCTTTTTGATAAAAACAGAATATAAACTTGTTTCCCATTTCACTTAGACAGGCTTTAAGCAAATGCAGGTGTTATCCTTTCCTCTGTCTTCTCTTCTTTCTTTCTTTAGTCCTTGGTATGACGATAAACTACATCCGGCAGCAAGGCCAATGATCGGGAGATTGGAGGTTTAGAGGGGTGTGGAACCACCTCTTAATTGATGTTGTTCCCAGGGCCACCCTGAGCCAAAGTGGTAGAACCTGTTAGGGTCCCAGCTATGGGTAAATAGTGAACCCCCTAACAAAAATAAAACACTATGAAAATATAAAAATACATTTTTATAATAAAATATAAAAATTATGTAAAAAGTTACCAACAATACTTATTTATAATAAAATTACCAACAATCCATTTGTAGAATTACAAAAAAATATATTTTGCATTTGAAGGCATACAATTACATTCAAAATATATTTAGTTGAATCCATAAAATTGAGTTCGAAATATTTAGATTTCGGCATTAATTAACCCATAGAGGTTGATATACCACTAAACAAAATCAGCCAATCAACTTACATCCTTTCGTTCGTTCTTTCTTTCTTTCGTTTTTTCTTTCTTTCGTTCTTTCTTTCTTTCTTTCTTTCTTTCTTTCTTTCTTTCTTTCTTTCTTTCTTTCGTTCGTACGTACGTTCGTTCGTTCTTTCTTTCTTTCTTTCTTTCGTTCGTTCGTTCTTTCTTTCTTTCTTTCTTTCTTTCTTTCGTTCGTACGTACGTTCGTTCGTTCTTTCTTTCTTTCTTTCTTTCTTTCGTTCGTTCGTTCGTTCGTTCGTACGTTCGTTCTTTCTTTCTTTCGTTCGTTCGTACGTACGTTCGTTCGTTCTTTCTTTCTTTCTTTCGTTCGTTCGTACGTTCGTTCGTTCGTTCGTTCTTTCTTTCTTTCTTTAATTTCTTTCGTTCGTTTGTTCGTTCGTACGTTCGTTCGTTCTTTCTTTCTTTCGTTTTTTCATTCTTACTTTCTTTCTTTCTTTCGTTCGTTCGTACGTACGTTCGTTCGTTCTTTCTTTCTTTCTTTCTTTCTTTCTTTCTTTCTTTCTTTCTTTTGTTCGTCCGTTCGTTCGTACGTTCGTTCGTTCTTCCTTTCTTTTGTTTTTTATTTCTTTCTTTCTTTCGTTTGTTCGTTCGTTCTTTCTTTCTTTCTTTCTTTCGTTCGTTCGTACGTACGTACGTTCTTTCTTTCTTTCTTTCTTTCTTTCTTTCTTTCGTTCGTTCGTTCGTTCGTTCGTACGTACGTTCGTTCGTTCTTTCTTTCTTTCTTTCTTTCTTTCTTTCTTTCTTTCTTTCTTTCTTTCTTTCGTTCGTTCGTACGTTCGTTCGTTCTTCCTTTCTTTTGTTTTTTATTTCGTTCTTTCTTTCTTTCTTTCGTTTGTTCGTTCGTTCTTTCTTTCTTTCTTTCTTTCGTTCGTTCGTACGTACGTACGTACGTTCTTTCTTTATTTCTTTCTTTCTTTCTTTCTTTCTTTCGTTCGTTCGTTCGTTCGTTCGTACGTACGTTCGTTCTTTCTTTCTTTCTTTCTTTCGTTCGTCCGTTCGTTCGTACGTTCGTTCGTTCTTTCTTTGTTTTGTTTTTTATTTCTTTCTTTCTTTCTTTCTTTCTTTCGTTTGTTCGTTCTTTCTTTCTTTTTTTCTTTCTTTCTTTCTTTCTTTCTTTCGTTCGTTCGTTCGTACGTACGTCCTTTCTTTCTTTCTTTCTTTCTTTCTTTCTTTCTTTCTTTCTTTCTTTCGTTCGTTCGTTCGTTCTTTCGTTCTTTCTTTCTTTCTTTATTTCTTTCTTTCTTTCGTTCGTTCGTTCTTTCGTTTTTTACTTATCTTTTTTTTTCTTTTTTTACTCCCAATCAAAAACAGAATAGACCTTTGTTTTTCCGATGTAATATCAGGGCGTATGATGTAATCTTTTTTTAAATTTTAATTTAATAAAGATTCTATTATTATTTCCTCGTTGGTATATTACGCCATTTTCATTTAAATTATATTTCCAATAATCTTATATATAACAAAGTATTTCATTCATTCATTCATTCTTTCTTTCTTTCTTTAATACATATCCCATCGCCCATACATATCTCATCTTCCTCATCTTTCTTCCTCATTTTCTTTCTTTCTTTCTTTCTTTCTTTCTTTCTTTCTTTTGTCTTGTTATTATATACGCATTCTTTTTTCTCACTAAAACCTGAGTAGCTCGTTATTTATCTGAGGTAACGGACATGATAAGCAAGGAGTAAACAATTATAATATGATTGGTTTTTAAATTATCCTTCATTTTTATGTACCATGTCCCCTCGGAGTTTCGGCGATCATGGCTCTCTACCATTGCCTGTCCTTTGTATCTAGTAATACATTTTTGTCTTTTTGCCCCTCCCCATTCGCTAAAACGCGCCAGGTAGGTGATGTGTTGTCTTCCTTTGTTTTTCCTGCCTTCAATCGGTCCTGTGAGTATCAAATTTTTCAAACCCTCTTTCCTCATATGAGAGATAGTTGAAGTTTCTAGAGCATATAGCACTAGGAACTTCAACTATCTCCTCCTGATATTTAATTGCTCTTTTTGGTTTCATTGTTCTCACTTTATAAAAGAAAAGTGTTACGTTTTTTTTAGATTTAGACAAGCGTTATTTAGGCGTAATTGACACGAATATCGAGCATTTCGTAAGGCAAAACCTCTGGCCCGTATTCAACATTATCACTTTCCGCGCACACGGCCGCATTTTACTACTTGTTTCTAGAACTCACATTTTCGGTCTACGGTATTCTCAGTATTCTTGTAGAACCACATTTCCCATCTTCATCTGGGAGGAGATTCAGTATCCGTCTATACTTCTCAGATTAGGTATTACGTAGACTATTTAAATTATTCGGATTATTCTCGTCATCTTTGTCGCCATATTTATTAAAACGTTTCGGCTGTTGTACGCTCCGGCCTTCTTCAGGTGGTTGGAAGGTCGAAGTGAACTCTTTATTTCGCTCAATGGGGTAGACTGTTCTAATTCCACGTGCTATGTTTAATGGATGTCAGTTATCAGTTATCTCCTGTTAATTCCCCTCTCTAAGTTCTCCACTGCCTTAACCGGGTATTGAACTCAAACTCTTTGGGTCCTGTCACTGAATCTAACCAACGCCTTTATCCACTGTGCCATGTGTCCTTGAGGAGGAGATTGTCCAGCATTTACTGCCGTATAGTATATTACATCACACTTCAGTACTCTTTGCTTCTTACGAATTTTTCTGTTTCTTAATACATTGCTTAGCATTTTGAAGGCATCTTTCACTATACGCCTTCGGCTTTCAGTGTCACACATTCCATCCTTTGTTAAAATTCCTCGCAGATATTGTTGCACTTTTGGTACTTTATATGTTGGGTTGTACCATTTGCAGATAACCATACATTCTGTCTTCTTGCAATTGATGCTTAGTCCCTTCTTCTTGCTTTCCTTCACTACCTTCTGTAGGAGTTCTTGTAGTTTCCTTTCTCTGTCTGCTATCAATACTGTGTCATCTTTGTTTTTAAAACAATTCCCCCCCCCAAGCAAGACGGGAGTGCCACTAATACGCAAGAGGTTACAGAGGATTGAGAACGAGAGTAAAGAGGCATTTTCGGGAAAGGATACAGAGAAGGACGGGGAACAAGTTCAGGGTGCCAGATGTCGATTGACATTACACTTGAATATTTGTAGATTATAGTCATCGGGAAAGCAAGTAAGGGGAAGGGAATTCCACAGACGGGAAGTGCGGGAGAATTTGTTGTTCGAGTAGAAGAGACGATATTCAGCCCCCCCCCACGAGAGTGTCATGTGGCACAAGGCCTTTTTAACGTGAGCATTCCGAGCCCGTGGGCTCGGCCAAAAATATGCCCATTGAACCCGTATAAACGGGTTCAGGGCCGGTTTTACCTCCCTGAAGGAGACTCCGCCCTTCGGCGTAGCCTCCTTCGGGTTCCTCCCGTCCGTAGGAAGAGAGTTTAACCGAACAGTCGGTTCAGACTTGAACGACTGATAGAAGAGACGGATACATTTATCGTTTTGACAGTGAATGGGTGGGTCCAAGATGCCAGACTGGTAGCTCGCTTAAATTCATACAGTCTGGGAACCGGTGAAAGTATCTCGTCGGGACAGTTGCCGTGAAAATACTTGTTGAAGAGACAGTAGGAGGCTACGGCACGTTCGTGGGATAGCGATTGTAGACCAGATGCCAGGACCTATCATCTTGCATGGATTTTGTCGAGGACCTAGAGACGTACAGCGGGGCTACCAGACCATATATGAGAGCAATATTCCATGCAAGGATGGATGGTTGATTTATAGATTTGAAGAAAGGACTAAGATGAGAAAAACCTCTCTGGCACGACACAGAGAACCAACTTTCCTTGCAGTAGATGAAGCTATTGATTCAATGTATTTATTCCACCTCACGTCAGTGGACAGCGTGAAACCAAGCAGTCATAACGAGGCGCCCTCAAGGAGTTGGGAATCAACCATTCTGATGGGAGGCAGGGAGGGTTCTCTGTGGAGGGTATAGGAGAGCAGTTTCGTTTTGGAGACATTAAAGCTTACACGCCATTTCATGCCCCAGTCAACCACAGATTGGAGGTCCTTTTCGAGATTTGCATATTTTACGTTGTTGAGATTATAGACGCCATTGATAAATCCTGGTAGGACTTGTAATTATCTCAGAATCACCTCAGTGTAGATTTTCCCATGCCCTTATGATTTTTTATCCTTTTTCCCACTCCCTTAGAGAGAGAGCTTCTTGATTTTGTCTCATGTGCGGAATACACCGGCCTCTCTGTTTTGAGGGTTGGACGGGCCATACTAACATCAGTTATGTTTAGTTTATTTTGTGTTGATATTTAGTTTATTATTGGGTTCATCTCCCCCACCCTCTCATTCCTCATTATTAGAATTGTATATATAATATTTATCATCATTAAATTTTTATGGTATGGAGCGCGTTTTGTAGGTCCCCTTTGAGAGGATGTGGTATTATGGTGCATGGAGGATTGATTGCTGATGGACGAGTTCTTGTGGTGAATGGGTAAATTGTAATGAGTGAATGGGTCGTGAATCGGATTAGCTAGGTATAAGATAGTGTTGACCTCTCCATTTTCGGCATTGTGTCACAATTATGTACTTGTACGTAATAAATATTGAATCACCTCAGTGTAGAGGTTGGATAAGACTAGTGAGTCCTTACTATTTTTAATATTATCATTTAAACAGTAATTATCATTATATTTATTATTATTATTTAAAGATTATTCTTCTATTTCAGCTATTGGTCGATAAATTGTTCTTATTCTTCCATATTTCTTTCCGAACACGCACACACAAATCTACGCTTATACGTATCGTTTTTCTTTCTTTCTTTCTGAAGAATTTTCAGCGCTTTTCTGTTATGCCATCTTCTTTCAAACTTTTTTTGAAATGCTAAACGATCTGCTTAGAAAAGTCAACGCAGATTTAAGCTTCATTATCCGGAAGGGCGAATTTCATACTTTTGTTCGTTTGTCATATTAAACTAAAAAATAAAATACAATAAAGACAGACAACAAAGCCGACACGATGAAAACTAATCAAACGCGGAGAACTGTTTAATTTGCTAAACGTGTACAATGTACTTCTGCTCGGCATACGCTGCTCGCTTGAATTAACAATACAGAAAATGAACCATATAACTATTTTGCATTAAAAACCTCTCGAAAGTTCAAACGGTCAAATAAAATGGAGGTAAGATCCGGGATTAACTTAAATCCCAAGAGACATATAACTGTGAAAAGGAAGAACGTAAAAACATAATCAAACGTTTTTTAGACAACTGCTTGCATTAAAAAAAAGAAGTCGTCTGTCGTGTGATTTTTTTTTTTTTGTCTTTTACAAATACGCGATGCTGTCTCTCTCCTTTTTGCTTTCTTTAGATTAAAGATCTTATAAAAGAAAAGTGTGTTTGTTAGAATTTTTTTAGATTTAGACAAGCGTTATTTAGGCTTAATTGACACCAATATCGAGCATTTCGAAAAGCAAAACCTCTGCCCGATATTCAACATTATCACTTTCCGCGCGCACGGCCATTTTATTTTTTTATTTTTTTTATTTTTGGCTTTAGCGTCACTTGCTTTTATTTTGTTCTTTTCAAGGATTTCGCAGTGTTCCGGATCATTGTTCCGCTACAAAATTGTAAATAGCAGACGACCAAAAGGCAAAAGAGAATAAGTCTGGCTTAAGATTCGAGAAAACACTGAATTTATTGGATGGCATCTGCGAGACGTCTGTTTACTCTTTTAAAAACGCAATGAAGAGAGTTTATATTTTATGCTTTCTTCTGGCAAAATGCATAAAAAAATGCTGAACTTGATAATGCAATCTTATGGAAAGTTTGGTTTATAAGCAGTTGAACAGATTATATTTTTTTATTCTTTTATCAATAAAATGGCTTTATAATATATTCGGCTTAAAAATTCAAAATGAAAAATGGCAAAATAGAAAAATAGGAATCATTTTTCTCAAAAATGATAATTAAATTATTTCGAAAGTTAATGTTTTATTTTGTATGTTGTTTTTCTTTTTAAATCATTTCATCCCCAAACAACGCCGTCGTGGGTATGACGATAAACTACATCCGGCAGCAGTTAAAATTAAATTTTATAGCAAAATGAAAATTAATGCAATAGTAAAAAAAAAAAAATATGAAAATACATTTTTATAGTAAAATTACCAACAATATATTTTCTGATCTACAAACTATATATCTAAAAAAACATATCATAACTATGAAATTTTTAAATTATGTACAAAACATCTGCAGTTGAAAGCATAAAATTACGTACAAAATATTTAGATTTCAGCATTAAATAACCCATAGAGGCTGATATGCCGCTAAACAAAATCAACTAACCATAGCAACAAAGCCACTAAGACAAGGAAAGTTACTGAATGTGAAAAAATATAAGAAACAAGAAAACTTTATTAAAAAGAAATTAAGATAACATTGAAATTGCATTTAAATTTTAAATTTTTTGTTTATTTAGCGGCATATCAACTTCTTATGGGTCATTCAATGCCGAAATTTAATTTTCTTGGGCGCATTAATAATTTCTTTTACAAAAATGTAGACTGGTAATTTTTACTATAAAAATGATTTTTTATACTTTCATTAATAATTTCTTTTACAAAAATGTATTACTGGTAATT